TCCAGACATGCTCACAAGTTGCCTTATGCAAGTCTGAGTCAAGTCTCGAATCATGTCTCTGAGTTGAGTCTTGAATCTGAGGTCCGAGTCCGAGTCGAGTCTCTGAGGTGAGAGTCTGAGTTGAATCTCTAAGGTGAGAGTCTGAGTCAAATCTCTGAGGTGCGAGTCCAAGTCGAGACTCAAGCCTCTGAGATAAGTCCAAGTCATGTCTTTGAGGTACGTGTCTGAGTGGAGTCTTGAGTCTTTGATGTGTGAGTCCAAATCAAGTCTCGAGTCTTTTAGGTGTGAGTCTGGGTCGAGTCTCTGAGGTGAGAGTTCACTGAACTGAGAGTTTGAGTCAAGTCTCAAGTCTTGAGGTGAGTGTTCCGAGTCAAGTTTTGAGTCTCAAATCGAGTCTCAAGTCTCTGAGGTGAGAGTCCAGGTCAGGTCTGTGAGGTGTGAGTCTGAGTCAAGTCTTGAGTCTCTGAGGTGAGAGTCCAGGTCAGGTCTGTGAGGTGTGAGTCTGAGTCAAATCTTGAGTCTCTGAGGAGTGAGTTTGAGTTGAGTCTCTGAGGAGAGTCCAAATTGAGTCTCAAGTCTTTTAGGTGTGAGTCGGAGTCGAGTCTCTGAGATGTGAGTTCAAGTCGTGTCTCTGAGAGGAGTCCAAGTCGAGTCCCGAGTCTCTGAGCTGAGAGTCTGAGCCGAGAAGATTCTCTGAGGAGATTCCAAGTTGAGTCCAAATGTGTGAGTCCAAATCAAGTCTCGAGTCTTTTAGGTGTGAGTCTGACTCGAGTCTTGACTCGGCTGAACGTCGTGTCAATCGTTATTTCATAAATGATACAAAACAATCTGAAGTACTTTGTACTGATGAATGTTTTAGCCTCCCAGTCAGATCTGCTACAACAGTGAGACTGCAAGCCCACAGCTCTGCGTTAGTTTGGACTGAGGTTCGAATGGCACATTTTCAGATTGTGTGTGTGTGTGTGAGTGTGTGTGTGTGTGTGTGTGTGTGTGTGTGTGTGTGTGTGTGTGTGTGAGTGTGTGTGTGAGTGTGTGTGTGGGTGTGTGTGTGTGTGTGTGGTCGGGTGTGTGTGTGGGTGCGTGGGTGGTTTGGGGGATGCTCATATTGTTATTTTAGCTAATTGCCTGCAATCACTCTTCACCTTAATTAATATGCTAATGCTACCAAGTGCAGCTGTTAGACACACACACACACACACACACACATACACACACACACACACACACACACACACACACACACACACACACACACACACACACACACACGGATACATACAGACCCACACAAAACACACACTTGTTACAGACTCCAGTTTTCCAGGAAGGTGTTTTACAATAGGGGAGCTATAGGAGTACAGACAGCACAGACAGTACAGACAAAATAGACAGTACAGACAAAATTCAGAGTACAAACAAAAATATAAAGTACAGAGTACAGACAAAATACAGAGTACAAACAAAAATATAAAGTACAGAGTACAGACAAAATACAGAGTACAAACAAAAATATAACGTACAGAGTACAGACAAAATACAGAGTACAAACAAAAATATAACGTACAGAGTACAGACAAAATACAGAGTACAAACAAAAATATAAAGTACAGAGTACAGACAAAGCAAACAGTACAATTTTATTACAAAGTACAGGCAGAGCAGAAATTACAGACAAATACAGATTACAGACAGTACAGACAAATACAGATTATAGACAAAACAGACAGCACAGACAACATACAGATTATACACAGACAGCACAGACAAAATACAGATTATAGACAAAACAGACAGCACAGACAACATACAGATTATACACAGACAGCACAGACAAAATACAGATTATAGACAAAACAGACAGCACAGACAAAATACAGTCTATACACAGACAGCACAGACAAAATACAGATTATAGAAAAAACAGACAGCACAGACAAAATACAGAGTATAGACAAAACAGACAGCACACAAAATAATAAGAAGAATGCAGTCCCAAATGGGAGTCCTAGTTGAGTCTTATGTCTCCCAAATGGGAGTTCTAGTTGAGTCTTATGTCTCCCAAATGGGAGTCCTAGTTGAGTCTTATGTCTCCCAAATGGGAGTCCTAGGTGAGTCTTATGTCTCCGAAATGGGAGTCCTAGGTGAGTCTTATGTCTCCGAAATGGGAGTCCTAGGTGAGTCTTATGTCTCCGAAATGGGAGTCCTATTTCAGTCTTATGTCCCTGAAGTCTGAGTCGAATCTTGAGTCTCTGAAGTGTGAGTCCAAGTCCAGTCATGTTTCTCGAGGTAGTAAAGATAGTAAAGATACTGTTTTTTGCAGTGCAGTGTTCTGCAGCGCTTTTTAAAATTCTGACTTTGCTTAATGATCGTCAAGTCACGAAAATATCAGATTGTTATCGGTATCGATAATCAAGGTTTCAATATCAATATCATGACAGAAAAAGTGGAACTGTGCCGTCTCGAGTTTCTACAAATAGAATCAATCCGTTCCTACCTACACACATTTACACACACACACACAGTGCACCTCTTAGGCCCAGAGCACTTAGTAATTGAGCCGCTGGTTGCTATGGCGATAAGATCAGAAGTTCGATGTTAAGACCTTTGAAAGAAAGTATGTGTTCAGCCCTAACAATCTCAGCTGTGTTTGTGTGTTTTTGGCCAGGTTTATGCCACATTGTGGGGACCAAAACCTGTTCATACACTCACACTGTGGGGACCTTTCTTCACTGTGGGGACCAGCTTGTGGTAGATCATTAAAGTTAAAAGGTTAGGGTAAAGGTTAGGGTAAAGGTTAGGGTTAGGGTTAGGGTTAGGCTTAGTTGTAGTTCTGGTTATGGTTTAGGTAAGTCTCTAGGAAATGAATGGAAGTCTATGTAAAGGCCCCACAATTCACAGAAACAAGACTGTGTGTGTGTTATATAATAGACTCTGGTCAGGTGACACCAATTATCTGATGGGGCGCCGAACCGCCTGTATGTGTTTGCTGGCATTCTCTAACGGTCTTTCCCACTGCTGTGATGTCATTGATGGGAGTTGGGCCAAACTTTTTTGTCTGTCTTTGTGTTTGTCCTTCCGTCTCTCCCTCTTTTTCTGTCTGCCTTCTTTTGTCTTCCTTTTCCATTTATCCTCCTGCTCTCTCGCCCACCCTCCCCTCTCCCCAACTGTGTGTGTTTGGCTGTCCTTATGTGCTCAGAAGCAGATGCTCAGACACTTTTCAAAACCAAGGTTTGTTGCCGTGTGCAACCAGTACAAGCACAATGACAGAGGTTATTTGCTGAGGCCTTGTAGTCAGAGAAAACACAGAGAAAACACAGAGAAAACACAGAGAAAACACAGGAAAATACGGGAAAAAGAAAAGACAAAACATGGATATATCAACAGACA